GCCGCCCCGCCGTCCGGACGCTCCCATCGGGCCGCGCACTCACGGGCCATGCCGACCACCCCACGGAGCCTAAAGGAGAGCAGCCCGGACCAGCAACGGCTCCCTCGCACGCTCCGCGGCTGAGGCCACCCGTCACCCTGGAAATCTGAGCGCGCGCCGGCTCTCCGCGGGGCGACGCCTCCGTTCCCACAGCCGGCGGCCCCGCTACCCGCGTGGCCCGAGAGCGTCTGCGCGTGCGCGCCCAGGGGGCGTGGCGCTCGCTGCTTTCCCGCGCGGGCGCGGGGCTCTGGAGTGTGGGTGCCGAGGGCTGAGCGTTGTAGGCGTGCGAGGATTTTCCCCCGTGCGTGTCTGCACCCGGGCCTAGCCAGCCGTTGTAGATAGCAAACGACAATAAACACAATATCTAACTTTTCCACAAAGGATGGTTGCTTTCTTCATTCTCTTGCAAGGCAGATAGGAGAGGGAGACTGAACAGATTGAAGCTTAGCTGCAGAGGGTGGTGTGCACCCTGCACTGACATTTTCTTCCTTGTTCTAGCAACAGCCCTGCACGGTGGGCTTCATTGTGCAACACTGACCTTGCAGTGCCAGGCAGAAACATGGAAACAACACCCAGGGATTGGAGGCAGATTTATTTTACGTCGATGGGCAAGGATTGGGATCATTCCCAAAATATCGGGCCCTGCCCTCCGGTGGTCTCGGGCTTATATGGGATAAGCAAGCAGGAAGTAGAGGCAGAAGGGCTTGTCAATTGGAGATTGGTTCTTACAATATGCATCACAGTGACCAGCAGTTTCTAAGAGACAGGAGCAACCGGAACTGGAACAGGAACTATTAGCTGGGCAACTAAGAAACAAGTATACTGGCGCGCAGGGTGGGGGGCATTTTCTGTTACAACCTCACAAGTAGGAATAAGGAGAGGTGAGAATCAAATTTAACATGGGTTCTGGAGCCTATTAATTTCCCATATTATCTCAGAACCCTTTCGTGGGCGAAGAAAGCAGGATTCAGAAGAGTCCACGATAACCTCTGAGCCCACGTAAACACTTGAGGACCAACTGCTCCTACTAGAAACAAATGTATGAATATCTTTGCAAAGGGCTGTGGTGTAGCTCAGTGGCGGAGCACTTGTCGGACACGCCTTGAGGCTTGGAGTTGGAGCTCCATCGTGCAGCCGGAGGGGGCTGTGGGGGTGATGTGTGTGAAAGGTACTAGTGTCATTCGTTTGGCCCATGCCTATTATCTCGCCTATTCTACCATTACAAACTGATGTTCTGGGCACCCTTAAAATTGTCTGGGTGTTCAAAAAATGTTTTATTATGGAAGACTTCAAATATTTACAAATATGACTTGAACGCTCTAGGGCCAATGGCCAAATTTAAACAATTACTACCTTATATAATCGACTATTAAACTGGGGCTGGGGGCTGGGGATTTAGCTCAGTGGCACAGTGCCTGCCTGGCAAGCGCAGGGTCATGAGTTCAATTCTCGATACCGGAAAAAAACCAAAAAAAAAAACAAACAAAAAAAACAAAAAACAAACCTGGGCTGTGATGGTGCACACCTGTGATCTCAGCACTCTGGGAAGTTGAGGCAGAATTGAGCCTAGCTTGGGCAATTTAGTGAGGCCCCGTCCACCTCAAACAAAGAAACATCAACTATTTTAGAGAACTTGGCAGAATGGCTTTGGGATGCCATGTGTGGGTTGAAAGTCCTGCTCTACCAATTAATAGCCATGTCAAATCAGGCAAGTTATTCCATTGTGTTAAAGCTTCCTTACTTGTTAATTGGGGAAGTAGCTGTACCTTCATTAATGAATTCGTATGTGAAGCATCACCATATAGTGGCACTCAATATATTACCTATTATTCTTGCACCCTTAAGAGCACCCTTAGCATCCCCCGTCCAAGTCCACCCCACTGCTTCCGGGTCTGGTGAATTTCCTGAGTAAACTGAGCAGGGGGAAAAGATTAACTTTCTGACCCAGTTATTTATGGAAATATAGAGATCTTCCAAGGAGGGAAGGTGGAAAGTAAGTGGTAAGAGTTGTTTCTGTGTTCTCAATTAAAGTCTAATTGAGTTTTCTCTTTGCAACTGAAATTATAGTCCTTGAGTTGTAGGGGTACACACAATGGACATCATGTACACAAGAATGTTGCCAGAAAGAACTGGAGAATTTTTAAATTACTGATACCACTAGGAATTTACTTCTCAAATGTGAATAACAAATGTTTTATGATTAAATTAATTTTTATTGGTACGTTTGTTACACATAATGACCACATTCATTATAGGGAATCTGTACCTGTGCATGATATATCTTAATTCTTTTTATTTCCCATTCTTTCCCCTCCCTTCAACCTTTTCATTGGTCTCGAGATTTATATCACAGATTCAAACACTGCTCTACCTCAGGACCCACCTTACTTTGGTTATTTTTCTTCCGATCATTGAAAGGCTTCCTTAACACCTTACTGCCAGCCTCCCATTACTGTCTATCATATCACCATTTAAATTTCTTTTATGGCGTTTAATATGTTCTTAAATTACCTTGTTTGTTCATTTCCTTTTCTTCTCCCCAACCCACAAAATCTTGGTTTTTTTTTTTTTTTTTTTTTTTTTTTTTTTTTTTTTTTTTTGGTACTAGGAATTGAATTCAGGACCTTGTGCTTGACAGGCAGGCGCTGTGCCGCTGAGCTATATCCCCAGCCTATTGCTACTCTTGAAGCAGATTAAAAATACATTAACCTGCAACGTTTCGACTATAAGAATTTTTGGATGGCGAAGATATTCACATTTAAAAGTATACAAGGTCTTAATCCCACGATATGTTTTGCAGAAACTTAGTTACTCCCAAGGAGGTAACCATCATCAATTTCCTCACACCACATTGTCTAGTCTACGTTCTACTCTATTTAGAAAAGACATCTTTTTTGCTGTTGTTGGTGTTTTTTTCCGGTACCAAGAATTGAACTCAGGACCTTGCACTTGCCAGGCAGGACTGCCACTGAGCTAAATCCCCAGCCCCTGTACTCTATTTAAAATTATTAAGTCCTGAGGATACACTTGTGATTAGGCCCTGCTCGCAAAGTTTTTTTTTTTCTTCTTATTTTTTGTCTGTTTGAGACAGGGTCTCGCCATGCAGTTCAGGCTGGCCTTGAGCTCACTTTGTAGCCCAGGCTGGTCTCGAACTTGCAATGATCCTCCTGCCTCTGCCTCTCGGGTGCTGGGATTACAGGCATGCACCACCACGCCCGGCTCTAAAAGTTTTTAACTGCCTCTGGGGACCCTCTAAAAAACAAAATGGGCCAGTGACTTTAATAGTTTCTGTAAGGGTTTGAGATAAGGAGCCGGGTGGGGGCTGGGGGGCGGGAGCTAGGTGCGATTCTCAGCACCAGAAAGAGGATAAAAAAAGGTTTCAACTGAGAAATTGCTTGCCTCCTTCCTCTCTTTTCAACAATTTTTGCTGGGAGTGGTGGCGCACACCTGTACTCCCAGCACTCCAGGGGCTGAGGCAGGAGTATCATTGGAGTTCGAAATCAACTTGGGCTACGAAGTGAGCTCAAGGCCAGCCTGAACTGCATAGCGAGACCCTGTCTCAAAAACAAAAACAGAAACAAAAACAACCCCTCTCCTAAAAAACAAAAAAACAAACAAAAAAAACTTCTAAGGACGCCTGGAGGAGGGAGCATATCTTTGCGCCTCAATTGGCAGTCCAAAGATAACCCAAACTGCACAGTTTAGCAGTTACTATGGTTCCCGACGCCCCGATCTGACGTCACCGGAGGCGCTTGATGATTACGCAATCGTCATAGGTAGTTCCGGCAATCTCTGCGGGCGGGGGAGCCCGGAGCCGGGAGAAACTTAGCTACTAGTGTGGCAGGGTCATGAAGAAGAGGCGGCGGCGGGAGCGAGGAGGCGGTGGTGGGGGCACGAAACTGCGGTAGCTGTCCGCAGGGCTGGTGGGGTGGCCTTGTGGGGAGGGCGTAGGCCCCAGCCCTCTCTCGGGCAGCGGCCGGGCCTCGGGGCTGAGCGCGGCCGTGGAGCCGCCTCCCCGGGACCCCTGGCTCCGCCATGTTCCGCAGGGCGCGCCTTAGCGTGAAGCCGAATGTCAGGCCCGGTGGTGGCGCCCGGGGCTCCGCTGCTGCCAAGCCGCAGCGTGGCCAGGAGGCCGCCAGGCCACCGGAACCTGCCGCGGAGCCCGCTCCGAAGCCAGTGGAGCCCGCAGATGTGCCCGCCGCGGATTTCGGGGGAGCGGAACCCCAGGAAAAGGCTCCCACGAGCAGGTAAGCGCTGCTGAGGGATTATGAAGCGAGTAAGTGCACTTGTAAGAGAGCTCCCGCCTTTGCAGTAAGTCTTTCCTTGGAGCCCGAGGAAACCAAACTGCAGTTTGTCCCTGTGCTGCGCGGGGTGCGGCTGGTGTGATTCGTCACCGTCTGTAGATCGCGAGGACCGCATGACTTCCACCGGCAGGGCTGGCAATCCAAGGATAATAGCCACAATCTCACCGTGCTTTCTCATTATTGTAGAATGCTTTATTGACATTAGTTTTTAATTTATTAAGCAGTACTTACATTTTTAAAATAACAGTTGTGTGGCCCTTTCTTTCCTCTCTCCGGCACTGGGGCTCGAACCCAAGACGTCAAGCGTGCTAGGCAAGCGCCCTGCCGCTGTACCACAGCGCCGCTGCTGGCTGCTGCTCCTGGCAAGGAAGTCTAGTTGCCGCATTTGGCGTTAGGGTGGTGGTGTTCACGCTGACCACGTTTGCTCAGCCGAGAAGCGTGGCTTGCGCGTCGTGTCCGGCGTTTGTATTTGGGACTCTTGTACTTAACAGAAATAGATTTTTTTCGGGGCAGAATGTATTCTCCTATTAAATAAGGGTACTACTACCTTCTTTAGGACTTTGAATGGAAGTCAGAGATGACTCGTATAAGCTGTCTCGCGCAGGACAGAGCACAATAGTTGTCCCCTAAAAGTTACTAGTTTTTGAAAAAGATGACTGTGCAGAGTAATTAAATGTAGGAGATGCCAGGTTAATAAGGTGTTCTGTTTTATGTTGCATATGGGAGGAAACCAGTAAACAACTAGCGCTGTTAAGTGACAGTGAGGTGGTACAAATTGTGTTTTACTGTGACAGAAAGGCGAAAATTTTTTTTTGGAGGGAACACAACTGCCTATATTACCGTAAACTGGTGCTGTAGGTATAGGGTATTTTGATAGCTCGGTGATGCTTTGTCATTTCCAAGGTTTTTTTTTTTTTTTTTTTTTTTTTACGTGAATCTACTTCAAAATTTCTACTCAAAATGAAGATACCAGTACCAGTCACTGGTAAACTAATAAAGTTCTTAGCGATTTTGTTAATTGTGTATGAATGCGTGATGATTAGTAATTTACTGTAGTCATTTTTTGGCGGAGGCGGGTTGTTGAGACAGGGTTTCCATTTTGTAGTCCAGGCTGGCCTTGGACTGACTACCTAGTGCTGGCCTCAAACTCACGGCCTGCTTCAGCCTCCAAAGTGCTGGGATTACAGGCTTGTGCCACCTGTTAAAGAATATAGTCTTGAGGCATTTATTCTCGACAATGCTTGTTTCCTTAGAGTTGACATTAGGGAGCATATTTTGTTTTTTAATCATAGCGTTTCCCCCATTTAGGTAGGTCTTTTTTTTTTTTTTTTTTTGGTTTTGGTTTTTCTCCGGTACCGGGAACCGAACTCACGACCTTGCGCTTGCCAGGCAGGCGCTTTGCCACTGAGCTAAATCCCCAGCCCCTAGGTAGGTCTTTGCTAGTTGTAAAAATCACTAGCTTATCTGTTCTGTCTGGGTGTTCAGCAAAATTGGGCAAAGTGGGAACGCTGTGTGTATTGTTAAAAGGGCTGAGATGATTTTTTTTTTTTTTTTGCCAGTACTGGGGATTGAATTGAAGGGCCTTAATGCATGCTAGGCAAACTCTCTACAACTGAGCTACATGTCCGGCCTCCAGATAGGAATTTAAGTGGGAGATTTTCTGGAAAGATTATTCTTAGTATTTTCCAATCTTAGGTAAAACTAATTGTATGAGTTTTTTTTTTTTTTTTTTTTTGGTACTGGGAATTAAACTCAGGACCTTGCGCTTGCCAGGCAGGCACTTATGCCACTGAACTATCTCTGGCCCCAGAACTAATTGTAAAATATGAAAAAAATAGCTTTTTTTTTTTTTTTTGAGACACAGTCCTGCTATGTTGTTCAGGGTGACCTTGAAATCACTATGTAGCCCAGGCTGGCCTCAAACTAGCAGTGAGCCTCCTACCTCAGCCTGCCAAGTGCTGGGATTGTAGGTATAGAAAAGTAGACTTTCCTACAGCAGAAAAGTAGACTTTTACATCTTGACTTATATTTCCTTTTTTCTTTCCTGTATTCAAACAATTTTTTTTTGATACATAGTAATTGTATATACTTGTGGGATACAGTGTACTATTTCAGTACATACAATGTATAATGATCAGAGTAATTGGTACACAGATCACCTCAAAAGTTTGTCATTTCTTTGTGTTGGGAATATTCCAAATCCTTTGTGTTAGCTGTTTTGAGATCTAAAGTAAGTTGTGGCCAATCATAGTTATCCTACAGTGCCATAGTACATTAGAAGTTGTTTCCTTCCTGCCTCAGCCTCCCGAGTTCTGGGATTAGAGGTGAGTGCCACATTCCTAGCTCCCTTGGATATGTAGTAATTAAAATTAAGTTATGTAGGCTTTTTAAAAAAATTTTTGTTTGGATTAGTGCTTAGCATATAATCATGTGCTCTAGTGTGGTTAGGGACTTGACAGTTTGAGAAAGATTACTGATCTTCATTAGAATTTGCAACTGTTTAAAAGGTTTTAAACAAATGTTGTTGGAACTTCTGTTTTAATTAATTTAGATCTCAAGTCATTGATTTTTCTTTTTCTTTCTTTTTTTTTGTGGGTACTGGGAATGGAACTCAGGACCTCACCCTTGCCAGGCAGGTGCTGCAACAGCTAAGCTATATCCCTGGCCCTATTTTTCTTTTCTTTTTCACCTTTTGGTTCTTTCTTTCTTTTTTTTCTTTTTCTTTTTCTTTTCCTTTTCCTTTTTCCTTTTTTCTTTTTTCTTTTTCTTTTTCTTTCTTTTGTTGGCAGAAATTGAACCTGGGGCTTCACATACCCTAAGGCTCATGCTTTCCACTGAACTGTACCTCCACATCCCACTTTTTGTTTTCATTTTTTATTTTTTTGGCAGTGCTGGGCATTAAACCCAGTAGCTTCCCACTTAGCTACATCCCCAGCCCTCCTTTTTTTAAATTTTCAGACAGGATCTCACTAAGTCATTTGGTTGCTCAGGGTACGTTTGTGCTTGCATCCTTCCTGCCTCAGCCTCTCAGAGTGTTGAGATTCTTCATTTTTTGGGAAAATGGGGATTGAACCCCAGAACCTTCATACTGACCACCTCGCCCTTTTAAAATTTTTTAACTTTTTTTTTTTCTTTTTGGTACTGGGAATTAAACTCAGGACTCATGCTTGCCAGGCAGGCACTCTGCTGCTGAGCTATATCCTTGGCCCCTAAATTTTTTTAACTTTAAATACATTTTAAATTTTATTAGTACATGTTTTCAGTTTATGAAGTTTATAGTCATCTTGGGGAGTGGTTACATGTACACACCACGCTTGTTTTTTTTTTTTTTTTTGGTCCTGGGAATCGAATTCATGACCTCAGGCTTGCCAGGGAAGCGCTGATGCCTCTGAGCTACATCCCCGGACCTTGTTTATTCTTTTTTAATCCCCTTCTTTCCTTACCCTCCCTCCCCTTTCAATTCCCCATCCCATTTTTCATTCTTGTTGGTATGATTTACCATAGCTCACATTATGAGGTGATATTTACATTAATTGAGGTTATTAGATTCCTGTCCATGGCACATCTTTACTCTACTTATTTCTCCTTCCCCTCGTTTCCCTCAGTCTTGTTCCCTTGGTCCACTTTCCTATTGCAAGAGGTCTATCTCCTTGTCCTCCTCCTTTTATTTTAATTAATTAATTAATTAATTTAGAGACAGGGTCTTGTTATGTAGTTCAGCCTGGGCAAAATTTTTTTCCCATCCTATTGGTCATCTCTTCACTAATTGATTGGATTGACCTGGTTGATTGGGAGTTTTGAGACAGGGTCTCACTAGTTCAAACTGGCCTTGAACTTACTATGTAACCCAGCCTCTCAGAGTGCTGGCCTCAAACTCATGCTGATTTTCCTGCCTCAGACTCCCCAGTGCTGGAAATACAAACATGTGCAACCATGCTGAGCTACTAATTCTTTTGCTGTACAGAAGCTTTTTAGTCTGATATAATCACAATTGTTGATTCTTGCTGTTACTTCTTGTGCAGTTGAAGTTCTGTTTAGAAAATCCTTTCTTACATCTGTCTTCAAGTGTTTTATCTATTTTATCTTCCAGTAGGTTTAATATTTAGATCTTTGACCCATTTTGTTTTCTTTAGTATATGGTGAGGGATAAGAGTCCTGTTTCAGTCTTTCCAAGCAGATAACCAGTTTTCCCAGCACCACTTGTTGAATAGGTTGTCTTTCCTCCAACATATCTTCTTGGCCCCTTTGTCAAAGATCAAATAGTTGACTGTGTCTGGAGAAATTCCTGTTTACTCACTTCTGTCCCATTGATCCATGTGTATGTCTTTGTTTTAGTGTTGTACTGTTTTTTTTTTTTTTTTTCCCAGTACCGGGAATTGAACTCATGACCTTGCGCTTGCCAGGCAGGCGCTGTGCCGCTGAGCTAAATCCCCAAGTTAAAATTGTTTTTTTAGTGTTGAACTGTTTTTATCAGTATTGCTTTGTAGTATAGCTGGAAGTCAGGTATGGCTATGGCTCCTGCTTTGCTCTTGTTGCCCCAAATTGTTTTTGCTGTTCTGGATCTCTTCTGGCTCCATGTGACTTTTAGGATTGTTTTCTCTAGATCTGTAAAGTACGCTGTTGGTATTTGTTTTTTGGAGGTAGAGTCTCACTATGTAGTGTAGGCTAGCCTTGAACTCACTGTGTAGTCCAGGCTGTCCTTTAAACCCACATCTGCCTTCCTGCCTCAGCCTCCCCAGTGCTGGGATTACAGGTGTGTACCGCTGTGCCCGGCTGCTGTTGGTATTTTGATTGGGACTGCATTGAACCTGTATAACAGTTTTGGAAGTATAGCCATTTTGACACTATTGGTTCTCCCTACCCAGGAGCAGGGGACATCTGTTTTCTGATGTCCTTTTCAATTTCCATTTTCAGAGTACTGTAGTTTTCTTTGTAGAGATCTT